CTTATATTGCCAGAAGAGTAAGTGGTTATCATAAATTGTTACTGGATTTACATGTGCACATGAAATGTGACTCCTGGCATGATTTGTCTGTTGTGCTGGTGCTGAACCTTTGCTTTCTAACCAGTCCTGAAAAAGTCATCTAAATCCTGAAATGATGAAAACCTTCATTTCCCAAATTAGACAATCTATTCCTTAAACACACACACACACACATACACACACACACACAGCAAAACAAAACAGATGCCATCATTTCCAAGCCTTCCGGAAGACCAAGTCTATTTCCCTAGTAACCATATGCCAGTTTGAGCCTCCTCCTGCCATGCCAGGGTTCTGGGCTGGCTGCTTAGGGTCCTGGGGCACCCATCGTCAGGAGAAGAAGCCACCTTCACTTGCACCTCATTCTTGGGGTGATAAGACGAAGGACGAATAGTTTAAGTACACATCATTGGCTAGACGCTGTTTTCTGTGCTTCACGTATTCTCTCATCAGTTCTTCACGATCATTCCAGGGTAGGGATTAGATAATGTGCTTTTACAGTGAGGAAACTGAGGAAAGTAACTTCCCAAGGTCACATGGTCAAGCAACTAGAATATTCATCTAGCTCATCAGGCTCCAGAACTTGTGTTCTAAATGTTGATATTAGGCTGCCTTCCATCCTTATTTTCACATAATCCACATTCCTAACATCTCTTTTTAGAGGCACATTCCTTTATTAAAGGGGGATCTTGGCCAAAACATAAATATAATGAAGGGAGACGTGGAGGTGTTCTGACTGAAGTAGGACTGGGAGTGGGTGGGGTCTGTCTTGACTCCTCCCTCCACTATCATAACTCCGCCCTCCCCGAATCCACGCTTCATCGGTTTCCGTTTCTCTTCCCTCTAATAAGTCCCTATTATTAGTCAATCCTCATTATTCATGGACTCTCTATTTGCAAATTTGCCTAACTGCTAGCTGTTTTTGTAAACCCAGAATCTCTACCTGTGGGCGGTCATGGTATTTGTGGACACGCACAGAGTACTGCAGACTTCTTCAATCAGCCTGGGCGTTCCCAGCTGAGGTGGAACATGTTGATGAGCTGCCTTCTTGTTTCAGGAACTGTAAACAAGCCTTTGGTGGGGGCGTGGGGTAGGTCTACTTAGTGCTGTTTTTTTCCAATTTTTGTGCCTTAAAGGGCACAAAACATATATTTTAAAAAATATACATATTATATAAGAAGTATATATATTTTATGTATATGTTATATAAAATATATATATACTTGTTTATTTATTTGACAGCCAGAGAGCGCAGGCAGGGGGAGCAGCAGACAGAGGGAGAGGGAGAAGCAGGCTTCCAGCTGAGCAGGGAGCCTGGCAAGCAGCTGGATCCTAGGACCCAGAGATCATGACCTGACCCAAAGGCAGATGCTCAACTAACGGAGCCACCCAGGTGCCCCTCAGACTTTTGTGTTTTTTGTTGATGATTGTGCTGTTTAAAATACCCCCAAAACAATGCTGACATGCTAATGTTCCCGAGAGCAAGAAGCCTGTGATGTGCCTCACAGAGAAAACACATGTTGAGTTTCATTCAGGCATGAGTTACAGCACTATAGGCTGTGAGGTCAGTGTTAATGAGCCCACTATATTAAATATATATAAAAAACATATATGTTAAATAAGGTATGTTTAACAGAAGCACACATAAAACAAGGTTATGTATTGATTGACTGACTAAAATGTTGTGACCAGACCAATTCCCTGTTTCCCCTAGGAGTCCCCAGCAATCTCTAATTCAGTGTTTGTGGCAACTTTATGCAATGCAAATACCATGAATAATGAGAAATGACTGTAGTTATTTACTGAGAGCCTCCTATAGGCCAAATAATGTGCTAGAACCTCATTTAAACTAACTACTTCTCAACAACTCTAAAAACCAAGTATCATCTCTAATTTATAGATAGTAAAACTCAGGCCTAAATAATTGGCAATGTCATTAATCAGGAGGGAGGTAAGCCAAGGTTGGATAGCATATGGTTCTGTTGTTCTCTTTCCTTTTTCCTCACTTCATTTGTGGACAAATCCCAGGAGCCATCTTGTGCAGTTCAGTCATATTCATGTCCCTGACTCCCACTGGATTTCTTTTCCATTGAATTGAACACAGTACTCCCCAAAGCTTCTCTTCACTCTACAGCCACACAAATAGAAACCTTCCTATTGATTCTGGGATTTTTTTTTTTTTTTTTTTTGAGCCAAAGTGTTTTATTAAAAAGGTTCCTGAGTGAGTTTCCCACCATGTTTCCTTGCCAGCCATCTTGTGAGGTTCCAGGTGGCTGGCTTGTGAGAATGGAGGTTACTATGTCTCCCTGCTCCACAGTGCTGGGGGCTACCACCATGACACTGCCCTGTCATTCAGCTCTGCTGGGGTTGCCTGTCAACCTTCCTTTCTTTCCTTCAGCTACCATCCACTGTCCCCTTGCTTGCTGTCTATGGTCTGCCTCCAACTGTTACTCCAGGAGAGCAACTGTCTCCTTGTGGGGGGTGGGGGGCAGGGCCAGATCCTGGTATGGCAGCAGGTGAACAAGATGTGCTCCCAGATTGGAGTCTCCTCTTGGCTTTGAATGGTGTCTTTGTTACCAATGATCAGGTCCCCCAAGACCACACTCTTGTCCCTCATCAGGATATCTCACTCTCAGACTGAGGCCCCAGCTGATTCTCCACCCAGTGGTACTTCTCACCCAATTCATACTTCATCAGAGGGCTGTTGCAGATGAAGACTTCAGTGTCCAGCATGTTGTTCATCTCCTGCATGGTTTCCAAGCCTCCAGGGATTGGCTCCAAGTCTAGGAAAAAGCCTTGGGCTTCAGACACTTGCCACTTTGCTGGCTCCAGCCAAAGCTCTCAGTACTGCTCATGGTTGAGGGAATCCAAGTTGCATTTCCAGTGCCACCTGTGGCTCCCCTAGGAGGCTTCAGGAGAAGCCCCGCAGGAGGCTGGCCTTGAAGTTGGCCAGCACACCATCCATGTCCATCAGCACCCACACAGGCCATGGGTGCCAGGTCTGGGAGGCCATGGAGGCTGGGATGGGGGGCTGGGCTAATTGTATAGAGAGCCATATGTTTGATGCTCCAGCCACATCCTCCTTCTCTTTTGTCCACATCTTCTTGCAGCTACTGGAATTTAAATCTCCAGGCAGAGCAAAAATATCCTTTAGTAGGAAAAAAGGCAAGGAATGGAGATGGTATGGACTTAGAGAAGCAAGAGCAAAATAGATTAAGGTGAAGAGAGAACAGGCAGCATTACTGGGTCAGAAGATGCTGTGGGAGCAAAGGGATAGACCAAGAATGGGAGCCCAGAGGAGTAGACCCTGAGATGCACATGTAATTCATTATATTTTAAAATCATTTTCATGTCTAAATCTTATTTTCATATCACAGCCACTCTGTGTATGCAGAAGACACATTTTTTCTACTTTACTGATGAGAAAACTGAGGCATGAAAAGCTGTAGCAATTTACTCTAGGTTGCAAAATTCCCTTTTATTCTATGTTCAGAATGGACTATTTATAATCACACAGCAAAATTCAGAAATCGCTTTCCTGATATTTCAAATTTTAAGCCAGTATCATGAACAGTCTATTAATAAGGAAAGATATTTTCCCTTATTTTATACTTGAACCATATGGCTATTTCAATATTTTTTTTACTTAACCACAATTTCTCTAAATTTCATTGTTCATGTTGAAGCATTTGACTAAAATATAGCAAAACTACTGTGCCTTTCAAGGGGGTCAAAATGTTTTCTGTGGATGGAAACGTGTCATGTGAATAAAGATGAAAGGACCTTTGTTGTACTCCTCTTCTGGGAATCTTTTTAGGGATATTACTAAAGTCAAGAATAGATCAGAAATGAAGAAAAGATGGGAATAAAAGAATAGCTTTCATGGAAAATTGAAATCATTCCTTTTAAAGTTCACAATTTCCACCCTGATGATAGATCCCCAGCCTTGCAGGATGGGTTCTTCCTAGATATAAAGGTGACAGCCACGAGAGGATTTTGATGCAACTGTGATTGATGTCAGCAGGGCCAGGCAGTGATACTTTATTACAAATTTAATGGACATTTATTAAGCTGATTCAATGGGAGCAGCCCAGGGCTAGATGGGGCTGAGAGATACAAAAGGAAGATGCAATCTATGAAGGTCTGGGGGACCAGTTAGGGATCGAAATTCCACTGATTTGAGTTGTTATACACTCATTCCATGCCAGGAGCTCTCAACATCATCATTTTGTGTCTGCCTCTCACAAGCCCGGACTGGAACAGCATGATTCTCCCTCATGCAAGGTGAGAATATGTGGAGAGATTCGGTAACTTCCCCAGGGAAGCTCTTGTCACTCACCTAGACAGGAAATAGCTAGAGAATAATGGAGGCACAGCCTAAAGTTGGGACACGTGTCTAAGATGCAGATTTATGCTTTCGTCCATGATACAGGAAGTCTATGCTTCATAGAGAAGACAAAAGATGAACATTTCAGTGCTTTTTTAATAAGTGAAGTGGTTGTGGAAATATTTGCAAGGAGGAAACATCTTTTTAGTATAGAAGAGTCCTTGGCTAGTTGACAGAACTTTTTCTTTCTTGGGTTAAATGTAGTCACTTCTATTATATCCTGAAGCATCTGGCTCTCCCGGTAAAGACATGTGAGCACTGCCACAGGCCTGGAATGTCTCAAGAGGGTAAGAATAGCCTACAATGAGAGATGACTCCTGCTGTCTTCTGGTCACTGCAGTTGTCAAGAATGCTTTGCCTCAAAGGCAAACAGCTCAGGGCTGTCTCAGCTCGGAGACAGAAAACTGACCTCCCATTCCTGAGCTCGAAGCTTTCCATTTATATCTGCAGCTCTCACCTTTAAGTCTTTTGTAGAGAAGATACATTTATTCCTGCAAAGATTTGCCACCTTCTTGGAGAATAATACAGCCTTCTGACGACTCCAGCAGCCTTGGGTCTGCAACACTTGGGAAAGATGGAACGTCTGGATCTGCTGGGATTCCTTCTTATCACCGTCAACTGCAACATGACTATTGTGGGTAAGTGTAAGGAAATAGCTCCAAAGCTCTTGTATTTTTGTTTTCATCACTTTGCCTGGCCTGTTTGTTGTTGGAAGAAAGGGAGCTGTGTACTCAAGCTTTCTTTTATGACTCCCCAGTCCCGCCATCATTTAAGGAAGTCTTGGATGTGTGTGTTCTCTCCTGGGGGCTTTCTCAATGATACTTGGGTGCTGAGCCCAAAGACTGAAGCAAGTGGAAGGAGTATCTTTGAGTAACTTTTCTCTGACTACCTGATCAGGAGGAGGAACAATGTAGTAAAAATTAAAGAGAAATCAATGCCTTGATTACACTTCCTTCTTGTGCATCTTTTTCATTGAAGCTTAACTTGCAAGGATTAGTCGTTTCTCTTGTGCAGTTTCAGCCAAATCCAAATTTTAGTTTATTTTTTAAAAAGAAAGTAATAAATATTTCTGAGTTTGAGGCAGATGTGTCAAATTTTTAGAGAAGTATGGATATCTTAGAAAAAAGACTTGAGAAGGAGCACCTGTGTGGCTCAGTCAGTTGAGCTCTGGTCACAATCCCCGGGTCCTAGGATCGGGCTCCACATCAGGCTCCCTGCCCAATGGAGAGTGTGCTTCTCTTTCTGCCTGCCGCTCCTCCTGCTTGTGCTTACTATCTTGGTCTATCAAAATAATACAATAAAACATTAAAAAAAAACTTGAGAAAAGGATTACAATATGCCTATGATGTGGCTGAAATTTTCTTACTCATTACTTTGTAGAATTGAAACAAAATCAACTTGGTCTTACCAATTTGAGTCAATGACTTGATCACATAATTCTATTCTTTGAGCTTAACTGCCTTTATTTATGATAGAGTTTTTTCTGCTGTCAGGTGATGTTTTCTGTATCGTGTCACAAAATATTTACAGATTATTTTAACTGAGCCTTGGCTGTGTTCCAAAAGAGTTAACCTGTAACATGAAAATAGGACTTAGATGTTATTTTGACTTCCCAGGTTAATCTAATTTATTCATGATAAATTGAAGAAAGAGGAACATCATTATTTCATAATAACTGTAATAGAGGAAAATAAATTCTGAATCATTGAAAAATCTGAAAATTTGAATGTCGTTAAGGAAATCTGATTTCAAGGACCATAAAGCAACAATTAAATAAAGATCTTCTGGACCAAAATAAAGATGTCTGAACTATAATTAGTAGCTTGTATTTGCTACACACGGTTACACAAATGTGCTAACATTCTTTAGAAAGCTTATTATCTGCAGAGAGTAAGATCTTATTTACATCATTAATTTGCTTAGCTCAACTTTCTTTCTAGAACTTTCAGTCCAGGAGACATTACCAAAAGTCTGAACTAGTGGACTCAGATCAAACATCTTTGACTCTAATGCTTCTTTAAAAGCTGTCAGTCCCAAAGCATTTTACAAACAACTAGTTCTGCACAGTGTCTGACCCATTGCACGGCCTCTGGAAATACTTGGCAGATGAGCTAACTAGCCCCCATTTCGGGGATTAAAATACATGCTTATTGACTTCTCAGTTCTCCAGTCTCACCCCTGTAAAACTGTTGTTGGAAGGGAATATGTTTGTATGCTGGTGATGGTGCCTTCCTGCTTCCTCCTTTCTAGGGAAGATCTGGCTTATCTTCATGGTACTGCTGAGGATGGTGGTGATCATCTTGGCAGGCTCCCCTGTCTACCAGGATGAGCAGGAGAGGTTTGTGTGTAACACTCTGCAGCCGGGATGCGCCAACGTTTGCTACGACATCTTCTCCCCGGTGTCCCACCTGCGGTTCTGGCTGATCCAGAGCGTGTCTGTCCTCCTCCCTTCTGCCATTTTCAGTGTCTACGTGCTCCACAGAGGGGCTGTGCTCGCCGCCCGTGGACTCTGTGGGCCAGATGGCGGTCCCACCCGCCCTGAGCCCTGTGACCAGAGCCCTGGGGACAGGCAGCATCCTCCGCCCTGCAGGGAGCCCTACCACCTGACAGTGCCGGATTTCTCCTCCAGCTACATCGTCCACCTCTTCCTTAGGGTGCTGACCGAGGCAGCTTTTGGTGCCTCGCATTACCTCCTCTTTGGATTCTTGGTCCCCAAGAGATTCTCTTGCACCCACGCTCCCTGCACCAGCGTGGTGGACTGTTACGTCTCCCGGCCCACGGAGAAGTCCATTATGATGCTTTTCATGTGGGCGGTCAGTGCGCTCTCCCTGCTGCTCAGTGTGGCTGACCTCCTCTGCAGCGTTCGTGGGAGGACGAGCAGGGGCGGGGCCCCCGCCAAGGATCCCCTGGGCCACACCGCCGGCCGCCCGCTGTCCCGGAGCCTGGGTGCTAGGTCAGGTCCGATGGCCGGCAACCGTGCGTGGGTGGAGGAGGGGGCGCCCATCCACCGCGGCCTGTGGACTGGAGCGGAGGGTGCCGACAGCCCCAGTGGGAAGTCCGCTGTGTCGGGGCGGATGGGGCTTCCGGATGAAGATGAGAGCGAGGTGCTGTCCTCTGCCAGCGAGAAGCTGGCCACGGCTTGCAAAGAGCCCGGGAGTAGGGCACAAGCGGAGGCCTCCCAGGACCCCAGGGTCGAGGGTCCCACAAGGTCCGAGGAGCATCTCTTAGTGTCTCGGAGCCGGCTGGGCCGGCGCTATCCATCCGGTCAGCTACCGCCCCCCGACGGGCTCGCCAACTCCAGATCCAGAAAGTCTGAGTGGGTCTGAAGAGGGAGTGCCAGGCAGCCCTGGGGTGCCCTGTCCTGTCCAAACAGACACGTGGCCCACGAGGATGCAGACTCGCTTTGGCCTGTGTGAAGCTAATCCTCTAGGTTGCGGGAGAACATCCGCAGGCAGAAAGGCGAGCGGGCATGGGACACATGGACGTCGTGGGAGACTAACCTCCTCAAGACACAGATTGATTTAGATGACAATTTCTCTTGACAAAAGCACTTCACATTGTGCTTTTGACAATGTGACTGGAAGCTAAAATGATTAATTGGAGAGTGTTGGGGGATGGATGATGTTACGCTCTGGGTTTTTTTTTTTTTTTTAAATCATAGTATGTGCTTAATTTAAGTGTGCTGTCTTCCATTAATAGAGCTCATTAATGTTTTCATGTTTTCCCGTGAGTTAATATGAAGTATTATTTTTGTTTTTCTGTTTGGATAAAAGAGGCATCTGATATGCATGTTATCAATAAAGAGATACTAGTTTAACTTCTCCCCACGCCTTTAATAAAATTAATTGTGACGGAATTGTAGTTTCATACCTCCCATTGTTATAGGAGAAATGAGAAATATGGAAAATACGGCTCCTAAACAATTGGGGATTTGGGAGGAGGCCCCTTGGATGGTTTTTGCTTGTGAGTATAAGGTGCCCAGGACCGCTGGATTCCTGGGGTGCTTGCTGTTCCTGTGTGTTTGCTAAGTGGCTGGTCCTCACTGACGTGAGGGAGCACATTTTTGTTTGCTTTACTTTTAATTTTTAATTGAACTGTAGTTGACCTAGAGGAGGCATTTGCGCCTTTGGTGAGGGGAGGTAGAGTTGTTACATGTATTCCAGTCTGGGCTTTGTCTGTGTCCTTTAGACAGCCGTACAGCTAAGTTTGTCCGAGAGGCTTCGTGTTCCAGTGGAGCAGGTGAGAAACGCTGTTAGTGTTGTGGCCTCGCAGTCTGTGTTCCTGTTTTTTGGGAAACAGAAAACTGCCTCATTTCTGGAGATGAGCTTCACAGAAGCACTTCCCTACATTTCTCAGTTATTCTGGTTTGGGTCTAGGAGCTGCTCAAGTTAGAGGTGACTTTTGTGAGGGACTTAGGGTCGCCTTTAACTGTGACATAGATGGACACAGTGTAGCCAAAAGAACTACTGTGGGGCAGGATAAACCTGCTTACCTTATCAAGAGAGGAGGAAGAGCCATCCGGGTACACTTAACACAAAATGGCTAAGGACAAGGAATTGCCATTCACTCCAGCAAATAATAAAAAAGGTGAACCCATGCACTCATGAACCCAATGGCCCCTTGTAGGAGTTCTGAAGAACTTCGACAATGAAACGTCTGCCAGAATGGAGAATAACATCTTTTTTGATAAATCCACAGGATGTCAAAGCAATCGGTTAAGACCTAAATCATCCCAAATCCGTTTTGGCATAAAACTATTTGAATGAATGTGCCTGTTTTTAATATATGCGGTAAATCTCTCCTGTGACTCCGTTCACTGGAAGCAGTGAGCCATGATTCAGCCATGATTCAGACTCCTTTCTTCAATACTTAGTTCAATGTCAGGTACATAGCAAGTGCTCAATAAACGTGATTTTTTTTTTTTTTAATAAATGTGATTTTTTTGAGTCTAATATTCCTAAAGCATTCAGGGGAAAATTTGGTTCTTGTCCCTTGCCACATGCAATTCTGGTGGACCTCCCAAGTTTGGGTACAGTCTTAGAGATATAAGAACTCTCTAGCTCTTCATTATTATTTAAAAACAAGTTTCACAGGTCTCTCAAGTCCCCAGTATTAGCCTTGATAATACTGAGTGACGAAATCCACTCAATACATGGGGGTGGTGTGTGTCCATGCAGGGTACCTGGACAGCAGCTGGGAAAGCAAGGTGGTAAGGGCTGAGCTGAGGTTGCCTCTTGGCCGTGTCCCCAGAGACAACGCGGCAGAGCACATCTGTGTTCTTTCTCTTGCTGGAGTCTATGCTCATGTTTGGGTTTGCAAGATAGTGTGATTTTATTTGGGTGGCACTGGGAAAGGCTGCTTTTGCCTGTCTGCTGATGTCCAAAATCCCACTATCAGAGAAATGACATCATGGAAATGCTTTCATGGAAAACTGTAAATACTATTCAGAGCAATAGGTACCAAGAGAGAAGGGGAGAGGTGAGGAGACGAGGGGAGGACATCTGGGTTCTCATCCCATATCCACACTACCTGGCAGGTCACTTCATAGCTCTGGGTCTCAGTTTCCTTCTCTGCATGAAGAGGACCATAGACCGGATGATTCCTTAGTGGTTCACACATTTAGAAATTTGCCAATGCCGTGTGCTGTGTAGAGCTGTCATTTTAACAATAAGCGTTCATTCACTAGACCCTTCCATTCTGCTAAATGCCTCAGCACGGGTTTCTAGAAGTTGAAAATGATGGTAAGAACAGGACAGGATGAGTCTCAGAGGAGGGGAAGCTAAGCAAGAGCATTAGCTCAGTTTCTTGGATGTACTAGGGCTGCAGAGAAGAAAAAGGAGGTGCTAAGTCTGAAGAGAACTGACTGAATTGGGCCTAGAACCCAAGTCCCTTGAACTTTGGGACTTAATTTTGGGCCTAGAACCCAAGTCCCTTGAACTTTGGGACTCCTCTTAATTTTAGATAAGATTTAAATTATTAATTTTATTTTAAATAAATAAATAAATAAATTTAAAAAATTAAATTAATATAATTTTAATCTTAAATAATTTTAAATAAGTCCTTTTAAATAAGATGGGATCTTAGTTGGTTTAAGTGTCTGCCCGTGTGCCTGGTTGTAGTGGAGTTCTTTTGTGTTTGCTCAGTAAGAAAGGCTCATTAGATATTGTCTAACTTTCCAGGAACTTTAATTCAGAAATCTTGTCAGCTAGCATCCAGGTGATTCTCAGGTGGTCCGGCAGTGATGCGAGCCCACTGGTGGAATCCAAACTCCGAATCCACACATATTGCAGCTGGCTGGCTGCAGAGACAAACACAAAAGCAAGCTCATGAAGATCAATGAGATTATGCTCGTGTTTACTCAAGAAAAGTATTATTTACAGAATTAATAAATGTGACTCCCTTTTTCTAGGATGTTGCAATCTACTGTGAGACCCTATTATGAATTTTCTGAGTGTAAATTTGGTTTCGGGCAAGAAACGAGGAGAGTGGTGTTTTGCTGATGAGGACAGGGGGCATCTAGGATTCTCAGACACAGACTTGCCGAATGTTTCTTGCGAAGGAGATGCTGCCCCCCTGCTCCCGCCCCCCCAACCGGAGCGTTTCAGGGGCAGGGTCAGCTGTGGAGCCTGTAAATCCTGCCAGCTGCATTTCGGTTGTGCTGTAGGATAAATGTTCCCTAGAAACCAAAGAGATGTCTTCCCCCAACCCCCACCTGACCATTGAACATGTATGTATATATATTTTTCCTTTCTCCTGTCAATCATAGAACAAATCTCTTCCTTGGGGAACTTTCTCTCTGTGTTGTAACCTCAGAGAGTGAGTGGCAGACAATAGAAATGAAAGAAGTGACTTAATTTTCTCATAAGCCGAACTTGGATGAAATGAGTTTCATGGAGAATTCAGGAAATTAAAAGTCAAATGCAAGAACTAGATTTATTAAGAAGAGTTTCCTCCCTCTCCAGACAGGCAGGGTGGAGGCATGACATGTTTAAAATACTGAGTGATTATAAAGAGTGTTCCTGCCTGACTATGACATTGATTGGCCATTCATTTCCTTGGCCATATTAAAGCTGAAAGACTCCTCAGGCTGTCATCTGTGTGTCACTGGTCCTGTTTCTCTCCCTCCAAACCTCCACCCCTCCTCTAGTGGTGGTTCCTGTTCCTCACACAGCCCCTGACTGTTTTATCAATAGACTGAGACATCAGATTTCACATCAATAATCTACGTTGATAAACTAGTATTTACTGAGTATCGCCTCTGTACCTAGCAATTAAATCTCTTGCTTCTGTTTCTTTCTATGAAGCTAAAAAAACCTTATCATGTCACAGGTCAGCAAATTGGTGGGAAGGAATTCTAGCAAAATGTCATTGTTTCAGTACCACTGTTCAAACAACTCCTCCAATTCCTGTCAACTTTCATTTTCTCAGTGCTGAACTGGGCACTTAGAAGGACAACCTGATGTTGTGGGCTTTGTTGGGAAGCTCAGATGAGAGAGTGGGTGTGGAAGCCCCCTGAGACAGACTCGTAGGTCACAGGAAGGTGTTCCCTGGGCTGTGAACCGGTCCATGTTTGACAGAGCACACCAAACAGGACTCTCCAGGAATTTGTGATCGTATAATATTTGCATGAGGAGAAAGATGTTCACAGACCTAGGAATGCTCCCAACCTTCTCCCCACAGCCTTTCTAACCCACACAGGCCTCTCTTGGACCATATTTAGGATGCAATATTTATGGACGCAAAAATGTTAATTTATTTCTTGTGGTACCTCTTGACTATTTCCATACTTCTCTATGTTTGTTTGCTTCTAGCTGCCCAGAAAAAGCAGGATTTGGGAAGTCTAAGCAGCAGGTCTGGGAATTGTATGAGTTTACTTTGGGTAACAGAGGAGGTGATAAATTAAGGATAATGAAGAAATTGTGGACAATCTGGCCTCATGGGAAGGAGATAATTTAAAAAGACAACAAGTCATCCCCTTGGGTTAAGATGCAGTCCCTTATTTCTAATTAAATTTCTTTATTTTGCCCACAAGTGTCAGATTGTCCTTCACCCTGACTTTTCACGTGATCGGGCCGCTAACTGCAAAGGTTTAGGTTGAGATGTAGATTCATAATAAAAGATGACAGCCGAGGCAGACAATGGTGGAATTCGGTAAATATTGCAAACCCTATGGTGTGACCACTCAGGAAGGTGTGTGGTGGGTGCCAACAGTACACAAATATTCTTTCGTCCATTAAGATTCCTCAGCTGTGTACTGAACAGCTACAAAAAATTTCTTCTGGTTTTAAGTTGTCAAATAAGGAATCTGCAAAAGTGCGTGAGGTTT